TTTAAAATAAACTAGTGAAACCTCTAACTTAAGAAGGGGGAGCACCCAACTTTTTTCTCTTCCTCCGTTATCATATGTAATGCTAATTACCTTTCGGTCTCATAATCCAACACACGGTTTATATTGTTATTTGTCTAACTCATGCAATTCTTTATCAAGTTCATGCATCAATCACTAGATCAATTGAAAGGTGACTAAACTTTCAAAGCATTAAGTTTGACAAAATAAACTATCATGCAAATAACTAACAGATCTTGAATTAACTAAAATCAATCACATAATCCAAGAATTAAAATCTCTCTAACCCTAGTTCAAGTAATTTAACCACTCATAATCAAGTTGAGAACAACCATAAAAATTAAAGAAGTAATTCAGCAAAGAAACATTGCAAAATTAACAAGTGCAAATGAGAAAACCATTCCCTAAGAATAAGACCAAGCCAAACTGTGCTTAGGCTTTTTTTTCACTCAATCATGTGTTGCTATTGTTGTCTCCAATCCTCTTCATTGGTTGTTGAAGATAGGACTATCACAAGAATTGAATTAAAGAGGTGTTGGCCCAAATGGGGGCAACCTAAGAGGGCAGGGAATTGGGTTTTCAAAAATTGTATACAAATAAAATGAAAGCCCATAAGCTCTGGTTCTCCTTTGTCAATCCACCCAGCAATTGTTATGTTAGAATTGGAATTTCCAATTGGAATTACCACTTGAATATAATTGAGTTGGGTTGAGCTTGTAAAAGATGAATTGTAGCTCTATTTTTTAGCTTTCTAACGGCTTAAGAATCGCCTCAATCTCATATTTGGAGAGATAATTAAGGTTAAAATATCACTACATGCTCAACTTGTCACTTATTGAAGAATTGATTTTCTTTAAATTTGTTCTTTAATCTTTTCCTACAAAACAATGAGATCAATGTAAATTTTAGTAAAACTAAGTTATAAAGTACACATAAAAATTAATTTATAAGGCAAAAAGAGTATATAAATATATATATATAT